AGATAGATAGATAGATAGATAGATAGATAGATAGATAGATAGATAGATAGATAGATAGATAGATAGATAGATAGATAGATAGATGATAGATAATTTGTCTTCAGGTAACATGGGACATACAATTAGTACAGGTAAGCCAAGCACAACTCATTGCTCTGGACTGTTTGACATTTAACCACTGCTATACTATGTTCATGAACTCAATTCAATTGTCACAATTAGTTAATGTATTCTGCAGGAAACCACAACACAAATATAATGACATGTGCATGACTACATAATAACAAGACGGTAACTGAAGGAGAATTTAGATGTCCAGACTAAAAGCCACCTAACCCAAATGCATCTTCCTGAAAAAAATAAAGCAATTACAAAAAAGCAATTTCCTAGGGCAACTAAAACTCAACTCAATCACAATAACATTAGAAGCCCAAAGAATGCTAATTAGCTGACTCTTTAACCGCATCCTCTTTTGGCTTGTCTTTGCCTCCAGTACTTCAATAAGTGAATTAATGCTTCAATGTAATGTATCCTGGTCTTTTGTTCCCTACAAAATTCTACTACACCAGCAATAGGTAATTGAAGATGTTGCATGCAGATACATAAATTTTGGCATTTGCATGACTACATCTTTATGCATGTATTATCTTTTGCCTCACTTGTCTCTCTGAGAATACCTCTCACATCCTGCTTGCTGCAGTCTGAAGACACTACTATTTTTGAAGGACAAGTCCCCATGATATCTCACTCAGTCTGCTGCTCCATATCATCCCTGGTCTGTTGCTGAAGCTACCTAGAGTGGTTTTTAAGATACTCCTCACTTAATGTCTGTTCATTCAATGACAGTTCAAAGTTATGGCTGCTGAAAAACTGGACTTCTGATTGATATTTATTTATTTATTTATAATTAATTGGTTTGATTTGGTTTGGTTTATTAGATTTATATGCCGCCCTTCTCCCAAGGACTCAGGGCGGCGTTCAACATTAAAAAAACACATATTACAAAAGTTAAAAATTTTTTAGATAGAGTATCCAAAAAACAAACTCAATTAAGATTAACAATAACATTTAAAAGAAATTCGATTAAAATTAACAACGATCAATAATTTATTTTGAATATGAATAAGGGT